CAAGCCTGTGGAGGCAACCCTGGTTTTTACAGATCTTTTTCCTGGGTTAATAAAACCCCAAAACATAAACCCAGATTTAAAAAACACCCAAACCAAAAAAGCCCTACTCCCAGAAGGAGTGAACAATCCATTGTGTCTGTGTGTCAGCTCCTGCTGCCTCCACGCAGCAAAAGCCACAGGATCCCTGAAAGCGTAGGGCCGGTCGCTGGGAGTGAGGGGCTTCCATGAGCACTGTGGCCAGTGGGACTGCAGTGTGGGCAGCCCCAGTGGGCTTTGCCCAGCTCTCCCTTCTCCTCCTCCCCAGCAGCCATGAGTGCTGAGTCTGGCCCCACACCACTGCTGTGTTCCTGGGGAGCAAGGAGCCTGCTCAGGGCAGGCCCTCCTTGGAGTTAATGGCATCCCTGTTCACAGAGAAATAAGTTTTCTACACAGATATTTTTGTTCCAACATTAAGCTTGGCACGTGATGTTTAGCTAGTCACAAAACCACCTTTCAAAACTTGGGCTGGCTGAAACAACACTTGAATGTTAGAAGTGTGCCACCGCCTTAACCACTAACCTGTTAGAAATGGAGCAGAAGAATTTGCTGCTCCTGAATTTCCTTTTGATTCTTTTAAAGGCAGTCAGCCCCACCTTGATTCCGTGTAAGAAATCTGCCAGCCCTACCCCCCAGACCTCATTTTTGAAAATAAAAGAGGAGGAAGTGCAGCTATGGTCCTGAGGCAGTCAGAATCCTCAGGCGAAAGGTCCACCAATTCTGGTTTCCACATTTCAGCTTACTGAGCAGGAAACAAGGTTTCTGGTAAAGAATAAAAATACTCTTCCTCATGGCATATTGTCCAGAGGTCTCCGATTCAAAACTCCAACCAACAGAGATCTTTTCACTACCTAGTTCAACTTTTAAGATGGTGTTGCAGTGAATAGTAAAATCATCCTCAGACTTACACATGCATCTTTGGTATCAATTTCACTCAGAAACAGGTTGAACACTAATTAACAATTTGGCAAGTAGTCCAAACTCATACAGACTAATGAAACACCAACAGGCATTTGGTTACGTTTCCTAGGATATTGTTCTATCAGAGACGTTAATCATCAAATTGTGCAAACATTCAATGATTTTGCTATTAGTAGCTTGTGCACCCTACTGCTACAGTAAGATGCTGTGGGACCTAGATGATGCTAGGGCAAAATGAGTGACGTTAACTGATTTACAAAGTATTTTAATTGTGATTTTCAAACAAGGCATCAACGTGATTCCAGCATAGCTCTAGTGCAGAGCCCGGAGGCATCCTGCTAAGCAACACACTGAAATCTCTTAGAAGATGCAGCTAGGTGAGTTTTTTCAGATGGTGAAACCAGCTTAAGAAATTCCTGCCCTGCTTGTGCTGAGCCATCCTCCACCTCCCACCCAAGCCCTGACAGCACAACTGCCTGCATGGCACTGTTGTAAACCGGATCACTGAAATAATCACAGTAAAAACAACTTCTTGGACAGATTCTGATGCTGGAGGACACATTTGCCCATGTGGTAGCTGATCATCAGCTCCTGACCTTCCAGGCAGCAGTAAATGTCCCAAACAGTCTGTCCTGCCAGACTGTCTGGGACTACCCTTTGGTGAATGCCAAGTCCCTGGGAACTTGCCAGCTGAGAAGGACCACGAAGCAAAGTGCAGAGTTGTAGGAATCCTAGGCTGAGAGAGGACCCAATAATTTCAAAACAAAAGGTATTCTAGAGACCAGTGAGGGAACAGTGACATTTTCATTTATTGATAAACGAGCTTAAAAACCAAGGTGATGATTATCTGAGTGGGTGGAGATCATATCCAGCGTGCCTGGGAAACAGGCAGCAATAGAGGAACAGAGGGCCCAGCCAGTTTAAGAAGGGAAAATTACATCTGAGTGACTAAAGCAAGAAAAAAGCATATTGATTTTCTCCTTTCCTTCTAGTAACAAAATCAAACCAACAAACCAAACCAAACAGCTCCAAATTCATTCATATGCCTCAGTTAGGGCCCTATGAAAGGCTGGGTATAGCCAGCCTCATGGGCACAGGGCCAGCCTGGTGGGACTGGGCAAGACTCTCTCCAGGGACTGTGCACAGGCTTACGTGCAGAAAAGGTGCACAGCCACTAAACCTGCAACAGTGGCGTCTCCTGCACGGGACTTTTACTTCCCCTATGAAGAAACTATAGCTGATTTTCCTCCAAAGTAAATCCCCCTCTATATGTAGAGTATGCATAAACTAAATACCTATGTATTTGGCTTCTTTCTTTTCTTCCTGAAAACTGACTCCAACATTTCTCTTATTTTTCATAGAGAACACAGCACTCACTATTCCCAGGTATGCCAATAACCCGTTGTAATTGTTTCTGCCTGCCTGCAAAATGCATCTGGCTGCCCTCATGAAACACATTTAGCACGAGTAAGCGCCAGGCTGCTCTGCTTGAAAGCATTCCCCAGTCTTCAAGCCTGTAAATATTCATTACTGGGATCATGAATGCCACAGAGTGAAGATTTTAATTCTGGGGTCCCCATTGCTATGGAGAAGTAACCGAGAAAGCAACTCGGAATGACTGCATCCAATGTCACACGAGGTGACTCTATCAAAATGTGAGATGCTCACAGGGAGGCAAACTCTCACACAGCGCTGCTTAACAGATGAGGAAGGGTGCATGATGAACCAGTTCAGCAGAAATCATCTGCACTTGCACCTGATACCGGAGGCACCCCGCAGCAGCCGGGCCACTTGTCAGAGAGAGGGAAAGCGGCTTCCCCAGATGGCCGGGACGGAAACCCCGG